AACAAAAAACTTTTGAAAGAGAAACAGAGGGTAAAAGAAAATGCTTGAAAGTGGATGTAAGAAAATAAGCCACTGGAATCATCCTGCTAAAACCCGCTGTCCACAGAACCAAGAACCACTCTGCCACCACTTGTTGTCATTCTAAGTGCATGTACATTTGATAAAACTCCAGTTCTGCCACTTTTTCCTTCCTTTTTTTTCCCCCCTGTTGTTTTGCTTTAAATCAAAAGCAATGTTCAAAAACATTCAGCACAGACAAATTTGTTTATGGCATTGTTTTACAAAAGTTCCTAACAGACAGTGACTATTTCATTGTTGGATGTATCCTTTATTTTATTAATCATGAGAAGTAACCAATGGAACGCTAAAAATAAACTTTGTAAAGAAATCTAGTCTGAAATTTGAATCTCTTTGAAGCAAATTCAGTGATCATGGTTAACAGTTGAAAACTGATTCTTGCGCATCAGTGAAATAGGCATGGCTCTTTTAAAAATGTCACAAATCTTTCAAATATAGGCACCATGTTTTAAATTTTGCACATACAAAATATGTTCATGTTACTCAAATTACACAATATGGCAGTGTTATAAGTCTGAGCATTATTGTCATATAATGGCAGAGAGAAGAGCTGAAAGCTCACATGAGACTACTGACTGGGACAAATCTTGAAGAGACAAAAAGTATAAAACAACAGTTTTCCTGCTGTATGCGTTTGTGGTGTGCATGTGTGATAGTGCATATAACAAAAAATGTTTAGGAGTGAGTTCAGATAACAGCCCATCCATTTGTTCTCAGTTTCTTTTCCAGTTTCATTACCAAAGGCTTTGATTTTAAATGCATGTTAAAATGCAAATTCAAATCCCATATAAACCATTAGTATGTTGACTGATTTGAGTCAAAGATTTGAGAATTACTGCCATACGTCTTTCTGTTATTCTACTTTTCAGCTTCTGGGTATGTAGGGTATTTGACTGTCTCAATTTTCTCCTTAACTTTATAGGACGGGTACAGGCCTGTTTTTCCTAATTTCCTATTGATTCCTTTTGAATAACCATCCCAGTGATTTCCAGCTACTCCAATTATGTCTCCAGGTTCCATAGGAATTTCATCAGCAGTTCGTGGATGATGAGCATAAACAGCAATCTGGTTATGTGCATTCTGTCCCCCAAAGTAGTAGATATCATCCAAAGAATGGAAATATGCTGAAGCATCTGGATGCAATGTCTGCATAATTTCATAGGCAACTCGACAAACCTTGGAAATAAAAAAAAAGAGAACTTATAAATATTGTGTGCGTGTGCCTAAAATATATCATAGTCAGTAAAGAATGTGTAACAAGTATATTTTACAAAAGGAAGAACAAGATTACTTTTTAAGAAGTATTTGAAAACACTATGTATTTGCTAACAAGAAGCACGCAGCTCTGAACTGGGATTCTGTATAGACATAGCAAATAACTACTTTCAGTGGTCTACTTTTCAGTAAAAATCGTGAACTCCCAGATGAACACCAGCCATTCTGCCTTTTAAAATGAATAACTTGCAGCTAATCAAACATAAAAGCAAATTTGTTTTCTTTTTTGACTAAAGTATATTTTACTTCTTGATGAACTTTTAGAACTTACATTTTCAAAGTCTACTCTGTAGTAACGATGGTCCTGGATCTTCCTTTCTCCCTTCCTTAAAAATGGGTGTGATTTTTCCAGTCACTGGGGCCTTCTTATGACAGATACGACCTTTTGGGTATGATGGAGATTAGCTTGGCAATTACATCAGGCAGTGGCCTTCAGGACCTTGGGATGCACGGGCCTCATAGATACACATTCAGTCTCACATGTCAAATGCCTGATTTGGTCACTGTGATTTCTCTGACTTGTAATCTAGATTACTATATCTTTCTCTGATTTTGATTACCATTACTTTAGTAAGATGTTATAGTTTGTGATTTTTGAAGTTTTGTTCTCTGCATGTGTGCACCCAATGATGAGGAGAGACACACAACTCTGAAAGATTTTAAATCTTTTCAGTATGAGTCATTCTTGTAAATCCTTCAAATCTGACAAAGCACTGAAAGTTTCCATTCAGTAATTGCTTCCTTTATAGCTGTGAACCTAGAAAACTAACCTGTCAACAAGAGCAGGCAAAGAATCCACATAAAGAATTACACATTCAACTAAGTACGATTGTTTCTTATTTTTCTTCATAGATTTATTTGCTTTGCAAACTATATACTTACAATGCAAAATATAGGACTAGTAAACCCTGAAAGAAAGTGAGATTATCAGGAAAAATAAGTCTCACAGACAGAGCTACAACTTCATCTAAATGAAGACTGAAGAGACAAAATAGCTATTTAATGCACAACCTTAATTCTGCAGTTGTTTTATGATTTGTTTTACTGCTCTGTGGCTTTTTCACACATTTCAATTAATGTGACACAGAGCAAACAGAGTCAAGGTAGATTTTAGCCTTCTCTTGGCAAGCCTAATTTTTAAACAACAAACTTATACTCAATATTCATTTAGCTTTCATAGCACAAGTAAGAATATAGGATATTTCCAAAAAAGTTTGATCTTATTCAAGCATACAGTAATTTTCTAAAAATACCTCTGTAGTGAACACTTCGTTTTTTTTCTTCCCCTCTCAAGGAAAAGAAAATGGAAAAAATCCAAGCTAGAATAGACAGTCCAAAATCACTCTGAAAATAAATTCCCACCCTTACTTTCTCTTCACACAGATTACATACTGGATGGTCATCATTAGCCTGGTTTTGCTTACAGTCAAGCCATAGCATCTGCCAAACTGTTTATTTCATTGATGAAAGGAAAGTGATGGTATATCAAATGTTAGAAAAGAATTTTTAATTCCATAAAAGCAAAATATTTCTCAACATCAGAAAAAAACTGCAAGAGATCTTAGAGAAGTACAATAGAAGAAAACACTGTGGATATTTGCATTGGTACATGTCCAGCAAAATTGAGGAGTATGAATTATTAAAGCAAAAGAAATCACTAAGAGTAAATGAGGTTGGACTAAATTACAGTCCCAGCTACTGAAAGTTACAGTTTAATACAAGACTTTCTAGACTTCAGCAGAATTTTACACTGCTGAAAACTGTCATCCAGGAAAAATATCTACTGTTAATGCACAGAGATGGAGAATGAGGATAGAGCTCAAGGATACTGTGCAACTCAAACGTACTCTCAAAGGGGGGTTAATACCAGATGACCTCTAGAGGTTACCTTCAATCTTCATGACTTTAACTATACTACTTTATTTTAGCATACAGCTACAATTTTTACAACTTTTACAACAGCTACAATTCACCTAAAATATATTCTGTCAAAGCAATTCTAAAACCTAAATTTAAACACTGTTCTTCTACACTTATATCCGGTATGTTGTAAACACAGCTATCTAAATATAATAGCAGATCACATCACAGATTTCTCATTAAGTTGTGGGGTTTTTTTTGTTTTGTTTTGGTTTGTTTTGAGGTTTTTGTGTTTCTGTTTTTGTTTTGTTTTTTACCAAAAAGCACATAACGCTTCCTTTAGAATGTGAAATTTTTACCACATCTGACATACACAGTCCTAGGTCTTAGCTGATAATCACCTTGTGAAAATAATTCAGGTGAATAGAGCATTTTTTTTTTTTTTTTTTTAAGTGGATGGCTTCTCACAGACTTTTCTTACCAGGGATTTTTTACTTTGGAATTTATTCCTATCTTGCCCTGAAGTAGCCAACATTAATAATCTTCTAAATATGCTTTTTAAAAAGTAGTTTTCTTCACATGGTCTGATGAATAGTGAGCAAAATGCAACCATAAGCACGACTAAGAGATAAAGGACTTTTCTACATTTTTCTCTGGTTTTGCTGTCTTCTTGTCATAATAACACAATTATGACTTTTGGCAGTCAATGTGAATAAATTACTCTATTGATCATATATTAATATTATGCTTATTTATTTTTCATTACAGTGCAGAAAACAATTTACATTTGAAGTTAGAGAAAACTTTTTTTTGAAGTAATTTTTTAACTTTCAGTTTTTGTGTCTACTTCCACAATAGAACATCTGCATAAGATCACAACCTATTACCATCTACAACTGAACACTTTCCTAAACAGAGAGCATATTTGACGAACGTAGGTTAAATATGTTCAGTTTGATTTTGATGATATTTTGCTGTACCTGAATTAGATGGATTACCACATGCAAGAGAAAACCATTTTCTGTTTTTTGTTTTATTTTTTAAACCTTCCAGCAGCTTTTAAAAACTGCTTTTCATGATGAATATGAAATTAATATATTTACTATGGTGTAACATATGTAATACAGAAGATGATGGTGACAGTTACATGATTCAGTTTTCCTACAGACTCCACCCATCTTGCTTCAAGCTCAAAAACAACAAGAAAAAAAAAAAAAAAAATCACAGTGCATAATCATCTGCAATAAGAATTCTCTGTAGATTGCAGTGACCAGAATTCACATTTACTCCCCTGTTCCTGGATATCTAGAAACATAATAGTCTCTAATAAGAAATTAAATTTCTCCTTCCCTTGTCCCTCCTGCTATTAAGTCAAGCAATATGTTTAAGCTATCGCTGAGCACTTTGAATTATAGAGATGGACGGATACAAGATAGATATTAACTTTATGCAAAGTTCAGAAGTGTCAAATGTTCAAAATTATTTTTACTTACTTGTGTGCCTTAACTAAGCTGTGTAAAAACAAATGTACAAGTTACATATTAACTTTATATAAAACTAGAAAATGTTTTTTTCTTAATTGAAATGCCTTAGTTAAGCCAATAA